TGTGTGCATATGAGAGAAGATGCCATTTGGCAAGCACTGCCAAGCTCCCTTACTTTGTTTCTCTTTCTGTTTTGCAGCAATTCAAAAAGACCAGTTGTATGACAGTGGCAAACACACTGTAAGTCTGGCTCTCTCTTTTAGGACATGTCTGTGTGGTTCGCCAGGAGGGCAAACAAATCCCACAGGCCTGTTACCTACACAGACACAATTACTCAGAAAATAGTGAATGGCACAGGCAATAGGAAAAATATCCTAAAAGGGAAAAAAAAATCTATTGAATGAGGCTGCACACATTCTGGTCCCTTAACTTTCATCAAGTTGATATAATGAGACATGGCAAGTGTTAACCCATAAGATACACCAGAGAATTTGGGGCATATGTCATTCTGTTTTTCAAGTGTCCTTCCAGCTATTGACTGCGCTACTGAACGTACTTTCTTCAGACTTCGGACTTCGAGTGGTGTGGTACAAACCAAAATAAGCTACCAAAATCTGCGAGAATTGGCTCAAATCCTAAGTAGTGATTTTCTTGTAGTACTTTCTTCAGTGTGCAATACCTACAGGCCCTCAATGCCCTTTGCGGTTGTCCAGGTACTGAGATAACACCCAGAAATGACCAGTGTATCTTTAGGGTAGTGATATTAATGATAAGTGGTGGGAGACTGTTTTCCTGGTATATGAACTTGCAGAACTAGTTAGCAGTAATAACTGTGCTTATATATATCAGAACTTATGGCTTGCAAAGTGAGTGGGAAATGAGATGGTACGTCCCTGCTCAGGGAACAGCCTAGGAGAAATGAACAGCAGGTAACCGTGCTGCTGGCAGAGAAAGTGAGAATGCTCTTTGGATTACTCATGCTGTTGTGGGAAGAAGAGTTACAGAAACAGCTGGCAAGATGTCAGGTTGATCTTAAGGAGTAAAAGTGAAATGTCTTCTCCTGGTATGTTAATAATGAGTTATTTGGATTAGGCTGTGGAGGCAGGGGAAGAAAAGATGAGGTCTGCTATTAGCCCATTTTCTCTGATAGAGATATATGTCGGACGTCCTGTTTCTTGCTTACTTGCTCCACTAAACTCATCCACAGCCGTACTTTCTTCCAAGCCTATTTCTTGATATCCTAATTTCACCAGGCCCACTGGGTCTTTTGGGGTTTAAACCACGCACATGGTTAGAATGGAGGATTCTGCTGACTGGGACAGAGACAGGTAGAAAACACCCAAATGTGTGGTTGTTCTGAACAGGTCTGGGTTGGGTAAGGAGCATATCAGTAGACATAGAGATGTAGTATATTAGGGACATCTAGGCTGCTGTCTCATCCTCTCCCCCTTGCCGTTCTCCCATCTCTTAGGTTATTAATAAGAATCTGAAAACGGCGACTGCTCTGAAAAAAAGGGGTGTTTCTAGCTCATTCTCTTCTCCTTTTTCCTTTTGTTCATTTTTTTTTTTCCTGACATCTGAATTCTGTCCTCTCACAGTGTGCAGGACCAAGAGGACATGTATGGTTCAGTACTGTTTTGTTAGTAGCATTTCTTTGTTTTCCATGCTGAGATCACTCCTGCCTGTTACGCTTTGCCCTTATGTTTATCCCAGTAGGGGCAGATAGAAATGCAATGATCCTGCTCTAGTAACTTCTAAAATTGAGTACATTTGCACAACTACAAATGCTTGTACATGAGCAAGGTAGGAAAAACTGGGAGCCCCTTTGGCTTTCTTGTCCACCTTAGTTCTGGAAAGCCCAATGTCTGCTTAAATGAGATCACATCCATCCCAAAGTGAGTTTTCTGCCCTGTTAGCCTGTTTTTTTTTTTCTTTTTTTTTTTTTTTCTCCACTCTAATGGTGTCAGTAGGGAGCTCTGTGAATTGGGGGAAGAGTAAATTTTCTTTGTAGCTTCCATTCCTTAGATGCATTTTCTGCATCTTACATCTTGTACGTTTAACCCATGGTTATACTGGGAAAATACTCTGAAGGTTTTTATTCCTCCTACACCCTGCATTCCTCTGACGGATCGCATTCTCTGCTTCACAAGTTGTTACAAAACACTTAATGCAATGTGAATACTGCCTCCATTGTTTGCATCGCCCACAAAGTCAAGCAGGCTTTTCTTTTGCCTTGCTGCGAATGGGATCCCCTGAGAGCTAAACAAACTTGGCTAGTTCTTTGAGCATCTTTCCAGCACTGATGTAAGCCTATGCATGGCTTTGGTTCATTTGACATGAATCATACACCCATCAGAGATGTGTCATAATCTGGAAAATCTAAAAGTTGAGCTTGAGCAATGAATCCTTTGTAATCAAATGAAAAATGAAAGAAGATTGAATTTGTACCTTGCCTATGCATGTTTTGACAAAGCACTATCAAGGGTAAAACTGGATTGCATTGTAATACCATAGGTAGGATTATTATTCTTCAGATCAGTGGTCCACCATCCATGCAGACACGTTGCAGTTTCCATGATAAATGATGCTTATAGTGACCTCTTCATGCGCGGACACATCTGTGGATGTATTTTTTTCTGAGTCTGTCTCTTTAAGGATATTACTTTTTTCTGGTCCCAGATCAACTTATGTTCTGACTCTGTCAGCGTCTGCCGAATTTCAATGTAAAAACTTGCTTATATCAAGAACGGGGGGGAAGAGGATAGGTTTCTAAACAAAAACCAAAACAACAAAAACAACAAACTACAAAATAAACCAACTATCTACAAAAAATCCAAGAGTATTTTAAGATTTCTGCCTGAGTGGTTTTGCTCTGTCACTCATTTAGGAACTTTGTCCCATATTGTATCTCGTGTTCAGGTCTTGACAAGTTGAGAGATGTGTGCAGGGGCATTTTCTGGTGCTTCCAGTTAATCTGGAGCTCAGCAGCATATATGCAGTTATTAGTTATTTTCAGCATGTGTTTCTTTGCATCTGTCAACAGTAAATTTAATTTGCCATTGTTTAAACCATTTTCATAGGGCTCCTACTAAGAAATAACTTAAATAATTTTATGCCAGCTGCGGATTTGTTTCTTTGTTATTTACCTCCTTTTCCACAGTACTGACAATTATGTGAGACAAGGCTCCTTAAGTAGAACTTATCCATTGTTTTCTTTGTCATATTGGTGGGGGGGGGGAGGGGGGAAAAAACACAGAATTTTGTTCCCTCTTTGTTTACTGTCTTTTTTATTAGTTTCTAATTCTTTACAACACTTTTTCTTCTATTATGATTTTTTATAGTGTCTTTTGGTTGAGTGCTTTTTAAAAAGGCCTTTTGAAATTCTAGATGACACCTGTTTTCTTTTATCTGGTATTTTGCTATGTCTTTGTAAATCTAAATAATCCTTGTACATTTGATTACATGTAGTATGAATATTGGTTTTACATTATCATATTTTAATAATCTCTGACATTAGCTTCTGTTAATTTGCCTGGCAATGAGGTAAGGTTTACAAAGCTCTAAGTATTAGGAGCATCACATAATTGTACGTCCTGAAAAAAAAAGGGGGGAGGAGGGAAATAGATCATATGGGTTTCCTTCCAGTACGATGTCTATACTCTGTAATATAACATATGAAAGGTTGCATCATTTTGCTAGCAAATCAACTTTGCTTTTAACAATTAAATATACAAGTAACTGTTTGTATTTTGTTCTAAGAAAAATATATATCAGCGACTTATATATCTGTCAGTAGCTATCACAGTTCTTTGCAACTATTTATGGTGTAAGTTACACCACAGTCCCATGGGATGGTAGCATATGATTACTCTTGTTGCATGAACAGGGAGAAGCCAGGCCCGATAACATGCCTTTTCTACCTCTTGTGTTCCAGTGCAGTCATTTTGTTTGAACTGTAGACTGAAGATGGTTCAATTTTCTTTTCAAGTTACTGTTTTCAGTAACAAACCTAGTGGGGGAAGTCCGTGTGATGAGGTTATGACTCTAGACATTTTAAATCAGCTGTAGAGTCTTCTAAATCTAAGTTGATTGCATTCATAGAGCAAAGAGTGTGGGTACTCCAAACCAGCAGTGACAATGGAAGACTTGAGTAGCCTCTCAAAAAATGAGTTAGGGCTCTTCTGCCACTATTCTGATGCCCTCAGGGCTAAAGGAGAACTTCCTTCCTACTGCCTTCTTAAGATGTGTATATTCTTCTCAAAGAGAAGTTCCCTTTGGTTGATGGAGACAAAGGAGTGGAATAAATGGAAACTGAATTAAACAAGGATGCGATACCAAATGTTAACTAAACACTGAGGGGAAGTTGTGTGGAAGCTTGAAGATTTAGACCATGATGTGGTATGATTTGTGCTCAGAATGGCATTCTGCACTATTGAACTGTGCCCACATAGTACTGATACACACATTCCATCAGTAGAGAGAAAAGTTAAATCAATTACATATTGTGACTTCTTTCCTTAACTTTCACGTAAATGGGAGGTGAAATATCAGTAGTGTCAAGCTTTGTTTCTTTGTGGCCATTGAAGCTGTTTGACCCCTGAAAGTTCATCTGGTTGGGAAACTAACTGAACCACAGCATCCACCTGGATATGAAAACTCGATGAAAACTTTCTGATATAAAACGGAAACAATTTTATGTGAGAATTTCTAGTCAGACCACACATACCATGGTAAATCCTTTAAAAGCTGGTAGTGCAGGGGTAGCCTTGAAAATTAAAAAATGGGAATAAAAAGGTACGCAAAGATGCTTCTGCTTAGCTTCAGAGGTGAGAAGGAGTAGAATTTCCACTGCTGACATAGCTCTGAATGGACGGATCAGATATTTTTAATGTTTATTTTTCCATCCTCTCCAACTGAAAAGACCTTGTTTGTGAGATCTCCTATGTTTATTGCAGGCTGCAACAATAAACTGATAAAGACAGCCAGGATAATGATTGATCTCTGAAATGGCTCATTTTGCTAACAAAATTACAGGTTGTGCTATGGACAGAGACAGCTGGCAGACAGGATAGCCCAAGCACCAAGCCTTGCAGAAAGTGAAATGTGTACTTACCACTCATTAGTGCACACGGTATCATTATCACCATTGCCATCGCGACAAATGTGATGATTATATGTGTCCCCTGAGAACAGCTGCAGACAGAATGGATGGACTGAGCAGGGAAACAAGCTATCCTGCAATCGGGAGCTGTTCGGCCTGTGAGCACATTTGCAAACATTTCAGTAAGAATTCAGAATTTCTTGGCCAAAGTTAGCAGTTGTCTAGACTTTTCCCATTCTGGGATCTCTGAGCAGTCTACAACCATTTAATAAAAATATTGTTGTTCTCATTTCAAAGAGAAGGTAATTGGGGCAAAAATGCTATTATGCTTCCTGCAACCAGCACAGCAAGCCTCTTCCAGCATAAGGAGTAGGATTAAGATCTTCTGACCTACAGCTCTGCAAGTCATTTATTAAATCATGATTACCTTCACAAAAACAGATGACTTGCTGTTTTGCAGTCACCAGAGTAAACATTCCTCCAGTTTTCCCCCTTTACTTAGAAGAAAGCAGTGATGTGCTACCTGTGTTTTCAGGAGTGGGTCCAATGAGAATTTTCCCTTAAGCTGTAATAAATCCTGTGGACAAGAGTGATGATGAGAGCAAGAGGGAAACTGTTTGCTGGTCTTACTGTAAATTAACACTTTTCTGTTATTTTTCAATTATTGTGAAGAAAGAAACTTCAGTACATTTTAGTTGGGATGGATGGGACTAATTTTGAAAAATCAGGCTGAATCTTTACTGCTTATGAAAGCAATAGCCAATCTGTGATGAAAACATGCATAAATGGCTCTTATATCCATAATGATAATTTTGAAAGTAGAAAAATGATCAGCTCATTCCAGAAGAGTATTTCTAGGCCAGTAACTTTTACCAAGGAAAGTCATAAAAGAAGGGAAAGCATCTCTAGATTTGGACCTTTGCAATAATATCCACTCTTAACACGGTAACAGCCACCAGGAAAGGAGTTTGCCAAACTGCCAGCTGCCTGTACTAAAGGGGTTGCCTGCATTTATTAAAAAGCATATCCTCTAGTGTGTGGAGACCAAGGAATCAGGCTGGCATGACTGTCAGACCGGATGAGCTAGTAGGTCTATTTGGAACCGTGGGTGCTGAACAATTTGGAGGTCAGGGCTCCTGTGCCCAGAGCTTGGTTAGCATTAAAAGTCTGGACCTATGGGTATTGTGGTGACAGTTCAGACCACCTGAAATGTCCCCTCTGTCTTGTTGCTTTGCTAATCTGTTTCACTATCTTTTTTGCAATTTAACAGTAAAATTAATGAAGTGAAAAACAATACTCATCCTCAGAGCTTAGCTATTACCTTAATTAAAAAGAAAATATTTAACATGACATTGTTAAGGTCGGCAGGCCCAGATGTAACCAACTGTAACTTTGAAATACCACTTAAAACATATTTAATTCCGCACTTGTGAAAGTTGCTGATTTAACAGTCCAGGAAACTCAGCTCTGTACCTTTCGTAACACGAGTCATTGCGTCTGTTCCCTTTTTCAGACATCTCAGACACCCAGCGGAGGCACTGATCTGTGCTAGCTGTAGTATTTTGGTACATGGTGTTGAGACTTTTGTGGATCTGCCTCCTCCTTTATTTCCCTCATTTTTCCGTTTCATAGCCTTATGAGAGGCTCTTCAGGAAGGAGAAATTCAGATCATTGTTCCAACCCTTGTGTACAAGACAAAAAGCCCTATATTGTGCTATAACTTACTCTTGTGTAAAGCTCTGAAAGGGAAAGTAACACATACAAATGAAATAGTAGAATGTTTTTCCCAAAATTGATTGTCACAGCAAGAAAATTACACATAAACCTGTCTGTAGTCAAGGCAAGGAAATGTTCTGATGTGTTAGTGGTCAAGACCTGATATTGTGGCTTATATCAGTTCTGGAAAATGACTAGTCTGGATGTACCAGGGCTGTTTGGGTTGGACAGAAAGTAGTTCATCTCTTTGACAATGAAGAGGGGAAATCTTTGATTTGTGTTCAGTTAGCAAATGTGGCAGGGTTAAGTGCAGGTTCCATTTGTGTGTCAATACAGTGATAGAAAGGTGGCTTTTTCAAATAAACCACAGGTAAATCTTGGAAAATAATGCAGCACACCCAATTCTCAAGTGTTAACAGGGTTAAGAGTCGATGGATCAATTTAAAGCAACAGTTGGCAAGTCAAGTGTGTTTCCAGATAAATGTCACTGAAGTCAAGGGGATGGTGTCAGTATTAAGCAATGCCTTTCCTTTCTAGTTAGCACATGAACTCAATCCACACAAGTAAGAAAAGAAGATCACAGTTTTTCTGCAGCTGTATGGTAGTGTCCAGTAAATGAGTTAAGAGTCTCAGCCCAATTGATAATGGTCGGAAAACTGCAAAACTGTCTTTTGTATGCACTGTGGCTGTCCTGAATGGCTGAAAAGATAATGGTTTGTGGGCTTTGAATCCCACGCCTTTTCCGTAAGTCCTCCTAGAAGGTTCGTTGGCTAGTGAAGATGGCATGGTTAGGGTTTCAGTGGCTGCTTGTTGATCAGATGTGTTTAAAACAAAAACAAACAAACAAAAAACACCCCACATACCTAATTGAGTATCATATCTCTCATGTCTGTAAAATTATGCAGGAAAATGGGGAGACACTTGGCATCTTACAGGAGATTCTTGGCACAGCTCCCTCTCTATCGCTTTGATCTAGATCAAGACACAGCTGCTGGCTTTTTGATTCTATCATCATTTTTTTCTTTTCTTTCTTAAATGCAGCTATTGCCATTAACCTCTCTCACAAAAACAATAAAGCCTCTTTCAAGCTTCCTTCCCATTTCAAATCATTCTGTTTGTGAAGCGTTTGCTAGAAAAGAGGGCAAGGCTTTCATGTTTCCTTTTCTTCTTGAAACCACCTACCCAGTTTCATGAAGAAAGGAAGAAATGCATCCCTGAAGGCTAGGAAAGCATGTGCATCCAATACCACCTTGAAGGCTGCAGAGCTGTTAACCACCGGCTGTGATACTGAGCCCATTTCATTAGGATGGCATCTTTGAGTGTTTAACGTGCAATAGTGAAAACAAAATAAATAAAGATGAGGTCACGTGAAAGAAGAAAGTATCATGGTAAAAGGGAATTAGTAACTCTATTTTTAAATGCTCCAAAATTACTGTAAGATCCAAATAACTTCCCTTGAAAATTTTCTTAAAATATTAATGGCAGATGAAATTGTTGGATTCCAGCAGAAAGCATCTCTATAAACCTGCTAACTTAACTAAACCTATGAAGAATTAATATCACGTTTGGAGTGCAGCCAGGTTCTTTTTTCCAGGCATGTGTTATTTGCACTTCCACTGGTTTTGAACAAACTCCAGAATACATGTACAACATACCCAACAAACTTTTCTTTGCCACCACGTAGCACATGCTTCAATGTCAAGAAGGGTCCATGTTAGAAGGCCTATCTCTTGTGATAGATAGGAAAGGCCTGATAGTTCTTATTGGTCCCTTGAGATAACACTGCCTAAAGTTTGTCAGGGAGATTAAGGAAAGCCACCCTCTTCAGCAATAGTCATGTGGGCTCTGAGTAAATACATTATACTAAGAAAGGTGATTATGACATGTCTTTTTTAAGATAATAGTAGAAGCCGCTACTTACCAGTTCAAGGTGGCTGTGCTCTGCATGTAATTCCAGTTGAGAAACCCATGTCCTTCATTGTGAAAGAAAAGGATATATAAATAAAAACAATGCCATTTTTGATTGGACATATTTTTAAGAGTTGAAATGTTCTCCACTGAAATTGATTTTTGTTTCTTTTAGGAACTTGTGTCTTCAAATAAAATGAACATCTTAATTTTAGTCTTACAAATTTTAAGAATATTTATGTTTGCTTGTCTTTTCTTCTGCTTCCTCTTTTTTTTTTTTTTTTTTTTTTTTCAAAGAAAAGAGGAGGACAAAAGTAAAAACCAAGTGGAAGCAAAAGTAATATGGCTAGAAATTCAAAATTTGGGTAAATAAATAAAATCACTTTTTTTTATGCCTCCTTCATTTTTCTACAGAAAATGTTTTATTTTGTTGTTGTTGTTGTTTTGTTTTGTTTTGTTTTTTTGAAATCCTTGATATTTTTCTTACAAAACTGAAATGCTGAGCCATCTGTTGTGTTTCCTGAAGTATTCTGGCCATTCATTGATGGTTTCCTTTCATGCGCTGGGATGTTCCTCTGTTAGTGTGTGAGACCTGAGGGTGCGAAGCTGCGTAAACCATTCTGAAACTTTCAGAGCCCTGTCTTAGGAATTTGCTGTGCATTCAGGCTGTCATTTGTATCCATCTATTTAGGAAACTGTAATTGGGTTAACTTGTGTTGCAGTGTGAGAAAAGAACATTACAATATCATGATACAGAGCCACAATCTGCTTGTTTTATCCACCCCTGAAGCTATAATATAGGTTATCCCCGCGTGCGGGCTGATGTTATTCATATTGCCTAGAGCTTCTTTCACTTATGTCATGTAATGTCTTCCTGTCTGGTACCAGAGCATGACTGATGTTTGGTGGATCAGCATAAACTTCTTCATATTACTTACTCCTAAAAAAACTCTATCAATTTTCAGAAGGAGAATCTTCAATGAGTTATCATTCTAATGAAGTAGAAAGCAATTTGATGGTAATGATATTTATTCAGAGGAGCAGTGAGATTCCACAGAGATGAACAGGAATATTTTAAGAAGTAGACACAGCCTATTTTGTTGTATTTTCTGTTTCTGCTCTTTGTTGCTGTACCATGAGGAAAACCAGAACACGAGATAGCTACAAACACAGAATCCATGCCAGCATTCCTTATTTACTTTTTCTAATGTGCTCCCATATCTGTACACATACTGTCTATTTAAGGGTTGTTTTTTTCTGGTACAGCTTTGTTTATGTTGCAGCTTGACAAGGATATGTTACCACCATTGCACACTGATTTGCAGAATAATCTTTTGGATGCTGATGTTTATTGTCTTCAGATGTCACAGGCATTAATCTTCATCTACAAAAGCCAGTGCTCTAAGAGTTAAATGTCTGATATTTCTGATGCATTTATTTTTGAATTGGCAATGTTAAAGTTTCTATTGAGCTGGCTGGTAGCTGTCCTTTAAAAAGTTCTTGAAGGCCATAGTCTATCCATAGCGTGGGTATAGCAGAGACATTGAAAGGATCTGTCTACTGACTCATTTACACTATTGTGCATGGACATAGGTAGACCCATCAATAATGTTGAGAAAGCAGGTCATTTTTAATGATCTATTCAATATTTGGAGGGTCAATTAAAACTAGCCTGCCCTCTTTTGATTTAAATGTTTTAAAAAAATGTATCACAAAGAGTCTGGACAACATTCTGACATCTTTCCCAGTCTCCAGAGAAGCCCCTTCCTGTTTTACAGTATCGTTTAAGTGGTTTTACATAAAGAGAATTAAAGATGCCAAAAGGAAATAAACAGGGAATCTACTAGGAGGAGAAACAATCCAAACTGGTATAATTGTGTAAGAAGAAATGTTGCCCAGGATTAGTGTTAAAAATCAATCAGGTATTTTTTCAGAAGAAATAGGAATACATTATAACTCCACAGGAAGCTAGGTCACAGTGCAAGAGATTGAGTTCTTGGCTTCAGTGGCAGGATGACTCTGTGACACACAGGGTGTGATTCTCCAAGGCCTGGGATGCCATATTCCTATGTACCTTATCATCATAGCTGTAACAGGAATCTTACTTGAAGGACAGCTTCTGTCTCCATCACCTTATGCTTCTATATATCACACCAGCCAAAGTGTTCAAATGACCGTTGTCTAAATCACTTGGGTACCTGTGCTGTGGTAAAGCTTTCAAGGAGCAAGCAGTATTTATAGCATTTTATGAGACTTCCATCCAGATAGCTAGCCTCTCAGATCGCTGCCTGGTTGTATCAAATTGAATGGTTATTGGCTTTAGCCTCTTTCCAGCTGAGGCTTCCTGGCTCCCTCTTTACAGGCAGAGAGGAAGGGCAAGCAGTAGGAATGATGATGGGATCCTAGAGGTCTTGGTAAGGTCTAGAGGTGAAGAAACTAAGAAGGTGGTCAACAATTCAATCTGTTAGACTTGTTTGTTATCCCCCAGGCAGCTTTGGGTTTACTGCCTTTCATCAATGATCTGTTCTATCTACCTTCCAAGCCCAAACTCCCATGCCATATGCTGCCAATACTTCCCTCCATCTGCATAAAGAACACCCACAGCCAACAGCTGTAATGGCTGGCCAGAGACATCTATCACCCTTCTCTCTCCTTCACTTTTTATTTAACACAATCAACCTGTTAGGACTTAATTGACTCTCCCAATCAGCTCATCAGGTGGGTTGATTGCATAGGAAGGAGAAAGGCTGGGTGGGGCAACAGTCATATTGGAAAAAAAGATGAAATAAGGCAAATCTTTTATTTCCCTAAGCTAAATGGCAACTCTTGAAAATTTGATTTCTAAAGGCTATGATATTTTGTGCTGAACATATGGTATCAAGCCAAATCTTTTTTCTTTTTTTTTTTTTTCCTTCTAAATCTGGGTCCTCTGTAGGGCTTTCTCCTCAATGCAAATGTCAGAGTTTGACCTATTAATTTCAACAGCATGCTGACAAAATAAATAATGAGGGGAGGAACTCTGTTCTTCTACTTGGGTGATATTTACTGAGTGGCCAAATCACGAAGTGCTGGACATAGGCAAGAAATTTTCTACTACCAGTTTTTAAGTACAAACAGTCTAAATCACAGCAGTTCTGTAGCTATAATACCATTGGCTGTTCCTGTTGGTTCATAAAAACTCTAATCTAATCAAGGAATAGACATGTGTGGTCTCTTCCTGTACAGCACACTACAAAGTCACTTTATGATCTTTGTGTCTTGTCTAGGTAAGCTATTCAATTACCTCACATTCTCCCAACATTTGTCCAGCATTGCTGCCATAGGAATCTCTCTGATTCCTTCTCTGTTTTTATTTCAGATGTAAGCTGTCTTATTGTTGCACCATGAAATAGTGTGATTCAAAGAAGAAGGCTTCCCAATCCATGACCTATATCTGTCTGTAATGATCTTGCCTCCCATGCCCTTGACACTTCATTACCCTAGTGTTCCTGATGGTACCTACAAAAATTTATGAATTTATGAAAGGTTATCTGTAGAGGTGGTCCTTTATCTTTTCCTGCAGGCCTAAAGAAACGTAGCTTCTTCCTACAGAACCTAATGTGAACAAGTGATCAGCCATACAGAGTTGGAATCTGAATCAGGAAGTGAATCAAGGTCAGCTGTAATTGCAATAGGGTTACACTCTCAGCATAATCCTACGGAAGCAGTTTCATTTCATTTATTGGTTGTCCTATCACGTCTCATGATAATTTTTTTTCCTAGATGGTAGAGAGAAGAAAATATCAGAGAAAGGTACAGAAGTTGACATTAATCTTCTCTTTACTTTTTCCACACCTAATATGTCAAAAATGAGTCCTGGAAATACTTTAGCTTTCTGTACAACATCGCTTCCTGATAATCAAGTTTGAATTTGACATCAGGAGTTCTGATTTAACCAACATATTGCAAACTTGGCAAGGCTGTCTGTCTGATAGATCCTTGCCAAGCAGCTTTACAGTAAGTGAATTCCACAACACAAAGCAGGCAAGTCATAACTTTTTTCCCAGAGGCTCATCTAGATTTTGATTCAGTAAAATTGCTGTCTTTTCTACAGAGAAAAATTCAACCTGAACGTAACGTAATGTTTCCTACTAGGTTCAGAAGCAACTATTGACTTTTGGTGAAGATTAATGCAAAAATTCCCTTGGTCTTGGAGGAGCCAAATTCCTCTCCTGGGATAGAGGCAGTCTGGTTAAAGGGCCTAGAAATAATCAAAATTCTAGACGCAGAGGTCCTCCAACAGTGGATCTTGAAAAAACCACACATTGAGATAGATTAAAAAAAAAAAAAGTTGCAATGGAAAATGGGAGGGTTCTATGTGAATTTATTTAAGCAGGAGGTCCTACGCATACATAAAATGTGAATGTTTAAAGTACGCAGTGGTCATTTTGTAATAACTCTCATTATTATTTTTTTCTCAAAAATAACTGTTTTTTTTTTTCTGTTCCCGTCACTTCTGTTGCCTGTGAATTTATGGCATTTCCTTTTGTCTCTGCTTTCTAATGCACAAAATGGAAATGGTGCTGGTGGTCTCCTTTGAGCTGTGTGTTCCAAAGCAGTTTGTTTATCTTTTAGCATCACTGTCTAATATTCCACTGTTCCTTACTCTAAGTAGTGCTGTGTCATAGAAACTTATTAAAATCTGCAGATAAGTAAATTAGTTTGGGCAATTTTCATTAGTAATATGAGTATATAGTAATATGAGTTTCCCATGCTGTGATATTCACAGTGTTCATGTTCACACATTTTTATCTGCATTTCTCACTCCCATTCAAAGTTTTAGGAAACCAATTCAGGATAGGAAAAGCCTTCTGCTGGAGTGCAGACACATCTCAAAAGCCATATTAAGCTTTCTTTAAAAAAAAAAAAAAAAAAAAAAAAAGGCAGTTGAAAAAAGTAAGGTTTGAAAAGCTAGAAATAATCTGTTGAAGAATCCAGTCACTGTTTGTGTTTGCATATACTCATATTTTCCTCATTATCTTGTCTGATTGGGGAGGCCTATTGAACTTGAGCTCATACGCCTCGT